CTGACCACTAAGCGCATATTATTTTATGGAAGTGAACCTGCAAGTGGACTTTGGGAGTCCTTAACCCAATTGAGGACTTTCCCTAGTCATTTTAAATAAATCTAAAGCAAGGTATTCTGAAGTATATGTGTAGTTCTTTAAAATTTTAGAAGGTGATAAATTTTTTCATGCTTATGTTCAGTCTCCCAAAATAAACTGTAACAACTTTTAGGTAAGGTATTTAAATTGTGAGTTTCTGTCTCTTATCATCAAGTGCTTCTTGTTCAAAGGAACTTTGCCCCATTTTTCAAAGATAGCCCCAAGATGTGAACATTTTTTTGGTCAGAAGCCTTCCTTTGAGAAAAAATTTCATTATGAAGTAATATTGACTCAAACTCCAAAATGTTTATTTTACTTTAATTTCTTCTCTATGGATGTAGACTCTTGAGGTTCAGGGTTCTTCAGGGGTCAGATGCCAATTGACTCAAACTTTCAAGAAAAATATGCACCTCATAGTGCACCATATGAAAGTCAGAAAAAGGCAAGGAATTATTTAATATGTTTTAGCAGACTCCAGGTTAATCAAGACATAGGTCATCCATCTTCATCAGAATAAAATAAGGATTCATAATGCTTCAAGAATACCATGTTCTAGATATTTAATTTTTCTTGTCTGAGGCCAGAAATCCATAAATTTTAGTATAATTTCTAACTAATTAAAAGAGGTAAATAAGAGATTTTGTCAAAGAGGTAAGTCTGCTAAATTTTGGATAAGCCAAATTCATAAAATTATATAGTTATTATTACATGGCCAAAATTAGTGTTTTAAACTCTCCAAATAAAATATCTTAGATCAAATGTTCTTGTGCATGCTTCAGACTAAAGAGAAAGTTTGCATGATTCTTAAACCTAAGTAACAGGACTTTAGGTCTTTTTGAGTTAACAAAATGTTCATTCAATCTTTCCATTTTAATCAGAATCTGGTGATGCAGTGTGACCAGTATGCCACTGCTGGTGGTTTTTTGACATATACTTTTTCTAAACTAATTATTTGTGAATTCTGTTTCATTATTTTCCCTATAATTATATGAGCCCATTCATAAACAAATAAAAATATCTTCAATGGGTCATGCTTCTGAAAACTTAGATTTGTATAAGAAACATCATTTAGTAATATTCACCCAGTTGACTAAAGCAAATACAATCCACAGGAATCTTCCATAAAGAATTTATTAGAAAGATAAATGATGTGACCATTTTGACAACTACAGTTGTGCCATAATGGCAAATCAGTTTCATATTTAATATAATTATATATCATAAGGCAAATATTATCATTGTTTACACAGGTGATTCACTGGAAGGTTCAAAAGCAGAGAGATGTAAGCAACTCTGATAGTGCTCCTTATTTGGGTTTGTTATGACTTAGCCCGTTACAGGTCTAGAAGCCAGGGAAGGTGGGTCAGCTCTCAAGTTAGAGAGACCTCTACATTTTCTTATAACTTGGAAGAATATTAGTTCTTAATGGGGAAAGGCAGGCCATGTCTGCAAACACAGATGATTCTGAGCAGTCAATATCTTCAGAGGCATTCACCCAGATGTCTCCATCCCAATTGTTAGAAAGTAAACTGTGTGAGGTCTCAAGAGGTTGGAGAACCTCAAAGAACCTTGAAAAATAAACATTTCCAATGGCAAGATTAATTTCCTGTGGCGAGATTTATGGGCATAGATGTCATCTGTTTTCTAAAATACCTTTAAAGAGTCATTTTTGCTTACAGAAAGAAATTCAAACTCCTTTGTCTAATGTTAAAATACTTACGAAATTTAAGCCCAAACCTATTTTTTTCACTTTTATATTTGAAAATTTCATATAGCCAACATGGACTATTTTTGTCTCTCAAAGTTGTTGTCTAAATTTAGAGCTCTCCATCACTGTGCAGACATCCTGGTCCACCTTATTTTTATTTATCTCTATATTAGCTTCCTTTTGAGGTTTGTAATGTTCCAGAATAACCAAACCTTCTTGTTATAATGATCCCACCTGCCTAGTAACTAGTGGGCCAATCAGAGGGTCTTCAGTGCTGCTGTGTACCCAGACTCACCTTTGGGTTGTAGTCTCTCAGATTCTCAAATCTACACAGTGCTTATTATGCAGCAGCTGAAGGCTCAACCTTGGAATTTCGAAGTGTGGGGAGAGGTGGTCCCAAAGGAAGATATAATTTTGTTTTGTGCAATTACCCTTTACTCAGAGTCTCCAAATTATTTTCTCATCAAATACTTTAATATCTTCTCCTTAGGACTAATCTCCCGAGCTTCTGGTTCCTTGAGGGACTTAGCCCCAATTCCCATATAGCCCTTTAAAAAAACCCTGTTGAGTGTTGTGCACAATTGAGTCAATGAACCCTTTCTAAAAGTGCTGTTGGAAGGCCCAGGTTTCAACATTGTATCATTATATTGTTTATCTTCCTAGGCACCTGAAGAAGCTGAGAAGGATAACAAGTCTACATTAGTAGGGTAATTCATTTTCATATCAGAAAAGGTTAATTTTGTCATTCACTTTGACCTATGCAGGCAAAGTCTAGAACATGATTCTTTAGACAAGTGAGTTAAGTAATTTCCTAAATTGTCTTCAGAAGGGTAGATATAAAAAATAAGTTTAGAAGCCCAAGAAAACATCTCTAAGCCTACCACGAAGGAAAAGTTAGTATAAATAGAATATTTAGTCTGTTTCATTTGATTTAAATGACTTGACTTGAATGTACGTTTTGGATGAATTTTGCCTTTAGTAGAGATACTAAAAGGTGTTGCAAGATTTATGGGATCATTGAATGTTAGAATTGAGAGGCATTGACTTTTCTGGGTCTTAATTTCTTTGCTTAGATTGGGTATTATATGTAGAAAACAAACCTTTCAATCAACTGATTTGAATTCTCTGTTGCTCATGCCCATAGTCACATGCATACCTAGAATCACGATTTTTCTATATTAGACTCTATATTGAGTAAGGCTGGGAAAACTAAGGTTATATGCACTTTGATTCATAAACTATTGTTTTTACACAATAGTTTTGAGTTGGTTCAGATCATAGATGGGTATGCTCTAGTTTTATCCTTATAATTTTTTTTACAACCTAAATTTATTGTGACACTCAAAGTGCTTTATTTTCTTCTTCCTTGAGTCATTGTGAATACAAATATAAAAGACCTTAAATGAGTCTCTATGTTAAAAAATATTAAATTCTTGGAACATTTCACTATTAAGGTACAGTTTTTCTGACTAATCTGGAATTTTACCCCATTGAGGCTGTTTCTTTCTAAGCTCCATTGCCTCTGAGACCACAGGAGGTCAGCAAATTTTTATTTCATTAGTTTTTTCTTCACCAAAATCCTTTCAATCTTTTCTAACAGAACAGAATGTTGTTAGACTTGTATCAATACTTCTGCCACTGCACACCCTGCTAATATTTTTGTGTGATTATGCTGTTAGAAATGTTACCATTATTTCAAGGTCCAAAATGTACACATCCCTTCCTTAATTTTCTTTTTTTTTGTACTATTATCATTTCCTCTTTTCTCACTTCTCACTTATTTTTCAGAAGAAAAATTTTTATTTTGACTACATACAGATTCCCGGGAAACTTAAAAAAAAAGTACAGAGGGGTTCCTTGTCTTCTTCACCCAGTTTTCCCCAATGGTTACATCTTCTCAACAAGCGTACACTGTGAAAAATCAAAAATTGACATCAGTATGATGTGTGCATATCTATGTATCATTTTATTATGTGTGTAGATTTGTATAATCACTACCACATCCAGGATACAAAATTAGTCCATCTCCATAAAGATCTTCCTTGTGCTATCCCTTATAGTCATACCACTACCTTCTTTCCCATCATTCCTAATCCCAAGCAAAAACTAACCTGTTTCCATCTTTGTAATTTTGCCATTTTGAGTACATTATGTATAAATGGAATCATTCACAATATAAACTTTTGAGACTAGACTTCTTTAACTCAGTCTAATGTCACTGAGACCCATTCAGGTTTTTGTGTATATTGTATTTCTTCCTCTTTGTTACTGAGTAATATTTTGTGATATAAATATAACACTGTTTGTTTAACCATTCAAATTGTAGGACATTTTGGTTGTTCTGAGAAGCCATTATAAATAAAGCTTGTATAAACTAAATTGTACAAGTTATTATGTGGGTGTAAATTTTCATTTCTTTGAGATAAATGCCCAGGTATGTCCTTTTCCTCCTTAAAATATTGTTTTTCTTTCCCAGCCCCTGATAACAATTAGTTACAATTCTCACTCAGTATTGAAGAACAGGTCTCTTCCTTGATGGACTAAATAATTTGATGTAGTCTGATGAGATTAATGGGTATAATGTGCACAAGGGATGTGAGGAACATAGGCATCTTGGAGATGGCATCACAAGGGAGATACTGTTGAGAACTTTTATTCTTTTTCAAAACCAACTTCTCTTGTGTTCCATTTTTAGACTTCAAGAATTATCTTTTCCACAACAAAACTGATGATTTTTTTTTTTTGGAATCTAAAGGAATTGATGAGGAAATTATGTTCCTAATACCCTTTACCTAGAGTGAGAATAAGTATTAGCCTGAATTAATCAACTTCACATAATGACTTTTTCTATGAAATGTTTTTAAGATATTCTTGGTTCAAAGGCAGAGATTTTTAGAAATGTAACCTCATATACTTAGAGTATTTACCTTAGATAATTTCCAAAGATTACTTCTAGGTCTAAATTTTATAATTCTCCTCCAAAATCCTGTCTGATCAAGGAGGAAACTGAAGAGCTCAGCGAGACAATGACTTAGTGTCACACAGATAGGACATAGGACAATCATTAGGGTAGAACTTGAGTGTTGTCTATCAGTCTATCCTATAAAATGTAGAACAATAGAAGTTAACGTTAGCTTTAAAACTGATAAACCCTCAGTTACAAATTTATTGCAAAGAAAAATCTTTCTCTTTCTCATTACAGATTAAAACAGAAATGGATTATGCAAATCAAACCCTTATGAATGAGTTTTTATTCATGGGCTTAACAAATTGCTTCCAGTACCAGGTTATTCTCTTTGTGATATTTCTCTTGGTTTATCTTGTCACTTTTCTGGAAAACTTGGGGTTGATCACCCTAATTTGGATAGATTCCCGACTCCACACCCCCATGTATTTTTTTCTCAGTCACTTGTCCTTTGTGGACGTGTGCTCCTCTTCTGTCGCTGGTCCCAAGATGCTGACTGACATCTTCATGGAGAAAAAAGTCATCTCTTTCTTTGGCTGTGCTGCCCAGTTATGGACTATTTGTCTATTTTTAGTGACTGGATCTTTCCTCCTGGCTTCCATGGCATATGACCGGTATGTGGCTATTTGTAAGCCCTTATTTTATATACTCATTATGTCCCAGCGGGTCTGTGTGCAGCTGGTGGTAGGCCCATATATGATGGGTCTTATAGCCGCTGTGACCCATACGGTGTTCACTTTTAGACTCCCTTACTGTGGTCCAAAAATCATCAATCACTTCTTCTGTGACCTTATTCCGCTTCTCTCTCTGGCATGTGCAGACACCCAGGTCAATAAGCTTTTGCTTTTCATTATTGGTGGATTTACAGGAGTACTCAGTGGTGTGATCATTGTGGTCTCCTACATGTATGTCCTCATCGCTGTCCTGAAGATCCGCTCTGCTGATGGGAGGCGCAGAGCTTTCTCTACCTGCTCTTCTCACCTGACAGTTGTCTCCATCTTTTATGGGACACTCTTCTTTACCTACATACGTCCAAATTCTACTTCCTCCCTGGACATCAATAAAGTGGTGTCTGTGTTTTATACAGCTGTGATTCCCATGTTAAACCCACTTATCTACAGCCTGAGAAACAAGGATGTCAAGGATTCATTCAGAAGGATGTTTGAAAGGAAGAAGTTCCTGATGAGCAGGTGAACTAGAGTTGTACTATAGATCGACAGTTAATCTATGTGCAAGATGCAAGAACATGGACTGGGTTGTGGGGAGTCCTTTTGTGTTGAGAATCACTCTGTGTCATTGACAAGTCACACAATGTCTTTAGTTTTCATTTTGATGTTTTCATTTCTTATCCAGCAAGAATGAGTTGGAGAGTTTTAAACTGAGATGGGTAGATTATTGAACTCCAAAACTTTAAAAATATTCTCAAGCTTGTGACTGGGAAAGGAGATTCTTTGTTAAACCCTACATGCTATAATCATAACCAGTGATTTAACATTACTTCAGTTTTGTTTTACCGGGTGTTGAGTTCCATCAATTTTCTAAACTTGATCTTGACTTATAAACTTAAAAAAGTGTGTTATAGTCAAAAGGCAAAAACTTCCAAGCACATGATAAATTCTGGGGATGTAATGTACAGCATGATGACTATATTTAATACTGTATTGTGCTCTCTAATATCACCTCTTGTGTTTGGAGTAGATATTTTACATAGACCTTTTATATCCCCTCTGCTTTCTACTCATAGAAATAACTCATAGGGATTTTGCCACTTCAGTTTACATGATTTGTGTATGTAAAGTGCAGAATGTATTATAGTTTTTTAAATAAAGTTTTAGTTATTACTATTATTTATTAATTTTTATGTCATAGGTAAGGTGTTAATTTTTTGTAATAGATGATAAGCCTTGGAAGAATCAGTGGGTTGTCCAAGGCCTCCTAATTTGGCCTCACAGTTTTATTTTCTCCAGGTACAATATTCTTTCAACCACACTTCTGTGCTTTTTTCCCTGAAACATAACAACACATCTGAGAAATAAGGAGATAGGCTATATTTTTGTACAATCATAAAACTTGTTGAGATCTGCACACTGTCTTATCTTTGAAGGTCTCTGTCAAGGACATTTAATTTTAGTTTGCTGACTTTGATGGATGTAAATAATCTCTATTCTAAATTTTTTTGTTCTGCTTTGCTTATTTTTCACCATGCTTTCTGCCAGTTTTTGCGTCTGTGTTAGGTAATGATAGATCAAGATGCTATTCATTAAATTTTAAGGCTGATGTTCCTTCCCTAACTTTGTGTTAATAAAGATTCTTCAAAATGACCTTGTATCTTAAATTCTTAAAAATGTAGTTTTAAATATTTAGTACTATTTTAGAACAGAAAATGTTTTATAGCATGTGCTTCCAGTACCTATGACCTATAACATATACATTTCACATTCTTCATGAAACATTTTTCCCCTCATTTTAGTTTTTAGTCACCATCTGTTAACATGGTCTCAGCAAATCTAGAATGTGTTGAAATGAAGGCTAGGCAGGATTCTTAGTGAAAAAACACTGAAATTGTTCTTTCTTTAAAATGTTAAACTTTGCCACTAGATGACAGTATTAGCTTCTCAATCACAATGAAATTGTCTACTAATATTTCCTTTTATAATTGAAAATGTTAAGATAGTTGGCTTCAAAATGATCTCAAAAGCCTAATTATAATTTTGGGGGGCTATGAAATCATGTACAAATTTGTGTTTGGACCATGCACTTATATATATATCTCCAAATGCCCATCAGTAGATGAGCGGATAAAAAAAAAGCTGTGCTACATTCATTTGCACTACAGAATTCTACTTTGCTGTAAAAAAGAAAATGAAATCCTACACTTTGCAACAATGTGGATGGACCTGGGTAGTATTATATTATGTAAAAGCCAGTCAGAGAAAGATAAATACCATATGATTTCACTTATATGTGGAATCTAATGAACAAAATAATCTAAAAAACAACATAGAAACAGAAGCATAGATACTTAAAATAGACTGATATCAGTCAGAGGGGAGGGGCTGGGTGAAAAAAGGTGAAGGGATTCAATAATATATATACATATATCACATAGACAGAGAGAACAGTATGGTGAGAGCCAGAGGGAAAGAGGGTCGGGAGGAGGTGGAAGTGAGCAAAGGGGAGATCAATGGTGATTGAAAGAGACTTGGCTTTGGCTGATGAGTGCATGGTGCAGTGTGCAGATGATGTTTTAGTGAGTTGATTTTGTTAACCACTGTCACCCCAATGAATTCAATTAAATAAAGTCCACAACACATAAAAATATAAAGTTTCTGATATACTCTAACATCTTTACCTTTTATATTGTAAAACCAATCTATTTGTGGGGGAGGAATGATTTTCCCATGATATGCAACAGAATTATTATTACACATGTTCTAGAAACACAGAGTTCAGAGACTTTAACTACATCCAGCATTCTTAAAACTCCTTCCATTGTCATAACAATAGTAAATAAAGAGGCTTTGCAACATTAGCTGCAAATGATTACCACATTAAGTTTGGTTAGCATTCATCACCACACAGTTACAATTTTTTTCTTGTGAAGAGGCTTTTTAAGATCTACCGTCTTAGCAACTTGCAAATATGCAATACAGTATTAACTATAACCACCATGCTGTATATAACATTCCCAGGGGTTATTTATCTTATAACTGGAAGTTTTTACCTTTTGACCACTTTCACCCATTTGATCTAAGTCCTCCTGTCAATCACCAATTTGTTCTCTGCATCTCTAAGTTTCGATATATATTTTTAGAATCCACATATAAGTGAAATCATACAGTATTTGTCTTTTTCTTTCTTACTAATTTCAGGAAGTAATTTAAAAAGAAATCTTAAAAATATATGTCCTAAAGAAAAATGCAAAACAGATTTACATATAGAAATTAAAAATAATTGTATGCTAAGCTAAATAAGAATTCAAATACTATCTTTTAATTAAACCAATAAGTGATAGAAGAGATTATATTAAAGAGGGTGAGATGAAAGGGATTTTAAGTATTAAGGAACTTCAAGGAAACTACGGTGTAACTTCAGAATTAAAAGCCACATGGGATGTTTATTTAAATAAAGAATTGACACTTAAAAGAGCAATTTTATGTTTGAAAGTACCAATTTGAAAAGCTCTTGCAAGATGCGAACACAGGAGAAAATATTATTAAAAAATGAGAAGAAACAATGATGTCAAAAACATAAAGCAGAGATTCAACAATAGATATTATGTGTATGTCTGGGATGAGTCAGAGCAATCAAAATGGAAGGCACGATCAAAGCTATAAATTTTTTTCTGAGTAACAAAGAGTCAAATATTTAGGTTTAAAACATTCACTATGTTTTAGACAAAAAAAGGTGAAAGGAAGCTCACAAACCCTAGAAGAGTGTTAATAAAATTATTTTTTAAGTATGAAGGCAATCAAAACCTGCTACCTCCTAAGAAGGGAAAAATCAGACAATTCTCAGTCTTTTTAACAGAATTAATAATAAAGAATAAATAAATAAAAGGACAACACCAAAGGATTTTCAGAGGAGAAATAAATGACTATAATTAATAATACTGTATTACATACTTTAAGGCAGCTGAATAGATCTTAAAAGTCCTCATAATAAGAAAAAAAATTGTAGTTATACATAGGATGGATGTTTACTAGACTTATTGTGGTGATCATTTTGCAATATATAAAAATATCAAATTGTTATGTTGTACACCTGAAACTACTATAATATATGTCCCTTCTATATTAATAGAAAGTTCTTTCATATACAGAGTCAATGGAAAGTTACTAAAACTTAACCTCTCAAAGAAAAAAATTGTTCTAAAGGATAAAGCATATATCTTTGTGAATACATGTTTTCAAATTTTTCAGGTAGAAACCCAATAGAGGGTTGTTGTCGTTTTTTTAAGGAGCCTCCATACTCTTTTTAATAGTGGTTGTATCAATTTACTTTCATACCAGCAGTGACTGAGAGGTTTCTCCAAACCTCTAGTTCCTGGTTATTTATACTTGCCTTGTTGACAATAGCCATTCTGAAAGGTGTGAAGCAGTATCTCATTGCAGTTTTGATGAACATTCCCCTAATAGCTAATGAAATTGAGCATCTCTTCATATATCTGTTGGCTGTTTGTGTGTCTGTTCAGGTCCTCGGCCAATTTTTCAATTGGACTGTTTGTTTGTTTTGTGTTGAGTTGTATGGGTTCTTTACATAGTTTGAATATTAACTGCTTGTTTGCAAATATCTTCTTCAATTCTGTTGTTTGCCTTAGGTATTGCTGGTGGTTTCTTTTGCTGTGCAGAAGATTTTCAGTTTGATATTGTTCTATTTATTCGTTCATTCATTCATTCATTTATTTTTGCCTTTACTTCCCTTGACTTTGGGGTCAAATTTAATAAAATCCTCTCTAAGATCAAGGTTCATAAATTTAGTACCTACATTTTTTAATGTAATTTATTGTTTAAGATCTTCTATGTAAGTCTTTGATTCATGAAAAACAGCAGTCTAGCTTCATTCTTTTGCATGTGGCTTTTCAATTTTCCCAGCACCATTTATTGAAGAGGGCTTCTTTTCCCCATTGCATGTTTTTGGCTCCTTTGTCAAAAATCACTTGCCCATATACATACATGTGGGTTCATTGCTGGGTTCTCAGTGTCCAAGATATGGAAACAACCAATGTTTCCTTTAATAGATGATTGGATAAAGAAGATATAGTGCATATATACAATGAAATACTACTCAGCCATAAGAAAAGGTGACATATTGCCATTTGTGACAACATGGATGGACCTAGAGAATATCATGCTAAGTGAAACAAGTCAGACAGAAAAAGTGAAGAACTATATGATTTCACCCATATGTGGGATATAAAACTGAAAGCACTAAATGGACAAACAAGAAAAACAAACACACAAAAACTCATGGACAAACAACAATCTTGTGGTTACCAGATGGAGGGGGAGTAGTAAAGCGTAAACAAGATCAAACATAGGGTGACAGGTGAAGATTTGACTTTGGGTGGTGGACACACAATGCAATATATAGATCACCTACCATAGAACTGTATGCTTGAAACCTATTTGATCTTATTAACTAATGCTACCCCAATTATTTTAATAAAAAAGAATATTGTATGTGGTACCAAA